TTCCGAACTAGTGTACACCAAGTTTTTTATATTTTGAGGAAAGAATAGAAAATATCCTTTTTCTAATTAAAAAAAATTATGGTTAGATTACCCTATTCATATTTGTAACACTTGGCTTGGTAATCTTATCAGACGTGACATCAGCATAATAATTACCATTCATCAGAATAATTAGTTTTGAAAGCGGCTGTAGCAGCTGCTTATTCCAATACAAAGTAAAATTATTCGCCTTTATCTCTTTATAAACTTCTCGTCGATTCTTAAAAATACATTTATCAAAATCTTAAATATAAAAACTTTTTTATATTTTAAGTTCGCATATGCTCTTAAAACATAATTTGTGAAGATGCAAATTTAAAATTAAGTGAATTTATCAGCCGTTTTAAAAAGAACTATTAGAACATTTTCTAAATAAGTTTTAGTTGATAATAGAACAATTTTTGAGTGTGAAAACGATGTTTCAATTTTTATAATATATTAAAGTATTTTTATAATATATTAAAGTATATATTATTTTTATTATATTATAAATATTTTATATATAATTCTTGTTGATACTATGCATACTTTGATTACATGTGAATTAAATCGACTTAATGGATTAGTATTATAAAAAATTAACTATTAAACTAGATAGAATTCAGCCATAAATATTCTTTGAAATGAATTTAATATTAAAAGTTTACTGAATGTCGATAAAAATGAAGGAAAAATTCGTTTCATAAACTGAAATTTGAACTGAACACTTTCAAAAATTGAATTTTAATATTTCGGAAAATTCTCATATTTCTCAGGTATTGTATTTTTCTAGGAAAATATCAACTAAATTTTATGTACATAAAATAGTTCCAATTTTTTCTGTGAAATACAAGAATAGTTCTTGCATTTCGGTATATTTTTACACAAATATCTACAATATGCATGAAGTTTGAATTTTCTGCATGCTTATTGAATATTTCATATAAAATGAACCTAAAATTCAAATTTCATTCAAATTTATTTATTTAACATAAACATTAATACAAATGTTTTAGTTAGCAACAAAATTTTTCAATTTAATTTCGAAATAAAAACACTGTAATTGCATTTGTCACATCAAAAAGGAGATTTACAGTTTGCAGAAAAAATAAAGAATTCTTATACTTAGAAAACGCCAATTTCATTTTCTTTTCTAAACTGAAGTAGAATTTCTGCTATTTTTATACGAAATTCCATTTCAAGACTTCCTTTTAAGAGCACAAAAGCTTAAAATTCGATCGAAAAGAATTTCTTGGGATACACTAAGATTATTCAGCATATTCAGGTTTATTTGGGATTTCTTCAGCCTCATTTATTTGGATTTTTTTTTCTTTATTTAAAACTTCCTTTACTGCTAATTTGGTATTTTAAATTCTTTGCTTGTCTAGACGTTTTACTGTAATACACGTGTTAAAACCTCGTACAATGTTAGTACATTTAAGAACTTTGCTTTCTTTGAACTGTCGGAAATAAGTGCCTCCCCAATTCCTATTTTGTAAAGAGCAGTAAAATATTTTTTGTGTTTATTTTTCTTGCAACCTATTAATCAAGAATTAATCATCACAAAAAATTAGTAAAATACAGAATATCTGGACTGAAGTAAAAAGCAGACACAATTAACGAAAATTTTTAAAAACACCTTCAAAAAAGAATAGATCAAATGAAAGAGATCAATTATCAAAAAAATAATGAACAATTTTCTTTAAATCAGGAAGTAATAATCAATATGAAAAACTTTTTTAAATTTCATGCGTGCCCAACTCGTGGCTCAATGGCAACGTGCGCTGCTGTTGAGGATTAGGACTGAGGTTCAATCAGCTGGCGGCTTAGTTATAGACGCTGTTTCAAAAAACGAGGAGACGAGATGGCGTTTGTGATGTTCAGCATCTTGCCTCATTAGTAAGATAACCTGATGAGAGTTTTCCGCTTTTCTCCCATACTATACTCAAATAAAGGTTAGTTCCCCCTAAAAGTCCTCCTAGAAGCCACTGCCCTCCTTCAGCGACACGGAGCCAAGTCCTGCTTCTACCTACGGGTGCTCCATCCCAACAGAAGCTGCTCATTTCCCTCCATCCATGGGGTTGAACTGCTGGACTTTAAGGATTAGACACAGCAGCACGGGTACTGTAGCATTTATGAGTAGATTATCCATGATGAGTGGATTACTCATGGGATGGAGGGAAAGGGGGCAGAAGGGGTTAAGTAGATTATTCATGGGATGCCCGTCCTGCGCTGCAGGACGTTGGGGATTAGTAACAACAAATTTCGTGCATTAACAGTAAGGTTTAATTTTTGAATACTTGTAAACGAGTTATACGCTCGAAAATGACATTTATCGCATTAAAAACTAAATATTTTCATAATGAGAAAAGTGCATGATTTAAGCAAAGACAATGGAAGTGTAATACAAAAAGGATCTAAAGATGCTTTTAATTTTATCTTGGTTAAAAAATTTTATAATTTTGTTAGTTTAGATTTAAAAATTGTATCTATAAAGTATACGATGTATTGTTCGCGTTGAAAAATTTTATAATGCACCTTTAATCTAATAGATTTTTATTTATTCAGTAAAAAAAATAAAAAATGAAAAGTCTGTGCTACAGTTTCTAAAGTGATTAAATGAGATTAAGAAAAAAAAAAGCTCTTAAATGTTAAGAAAAATAATCCATTCAAAATTATAAATATAATGAAAAGTGATAAAAAAAACATTTTTAGAATTTAAAAGTAAAATTTTTTTCCTAGTAGGGAAAAAAAAAATCTTGTTTAGTTTTGAAATTTTGTATTTAAATTGATAGTTTTCAAATTAATTCTTGGAAAAAAAAATAAAAAAAATCTCGCATACGATGCTTCTTTTCAGAATATTGTAAACAACTAGTAAAATTACCATACAACAAAGAGACATTGGACCGAAGAACTTTTCATTTTTATGGATTTTTTTTTCTTCTTTTAAGAGTAAATTACCTGCGATTTACGATTTTGACAAGCCTCCTCAAAAAGAAATGCACAGTAGCAATTCAATACTTCAACACCTCTTGGGGTTGTAATTTTATACCCGAGACCAAAATAGCGGACATGCCAAGAAAATAAAATTCGCCGTGGAGCCGAATTACGAGAAGTTTCCAAAAGCAATATTTTTTCTTCGTAATAAAACGCCAGCGAAATATTATATTTTCAAAATTACCAGTTTCAAAATAGTGTTTTTTTTATTTGCTTTTTGTATATCGTTTACATTTTTTTGTTTTCTTAACCAGAGATCTTGAATAATTGGACTTGGTGAATATTTATTTCAAATAAAATTCTTTAAAGAATAATTCCAAAAAATTTTTTTAAGTTTCTAAAACTAACTTTTTATAATTGCATCGATTCCATCAAAAATTTAATTTTTAGTAATATAATAAATTCATTTACAATTCCCTTTTTTTCAATCTTAATTCTTTTAATATCGGATTTTTTACTGTGTTATCCTAATTTCTTTTGTATTTAGAAATGATTATTTACCTAAAATTTCTTTAACGGGAAAAGAATTTATAAAAAGAATTTTTAAATTTAATTCTTTAATCCTTCTTCCTTTAAAGCAATTTTATGTAAACTTTCAACCAGAGAAAAATTATTATTTATATTTACCAAACCAATGATTATTTTTTTTTATTATTATAATGAGCTGTATTAAACACACTTTCAAGTTCATTTTTGTTGTATGGAAAAAGTTCAAGTTCATTTAATAATATATTGTCAGAATACTTATATATTTATTATATATGATTTATAAATATGCTAACCATTAAGCTTTTATCAACTATATAATAATCAGCGTTTTGATATAGTCCTTTGACGTCTTTATAAAAGTTTTAGTATAATCAATCTACACAAATGTATACAATTCCAATCCTATTGATTGTTTCATATTTAACCTTTAAATAAAAATTACAACACAAAATAGCTAATTATTTTTTTAGTTTGTTTTATCTCGCACAGTAGAACCGAGTCAATTTCAAACTGGTTACTTATGAAATCGATTGTCTTTTTTCCCAATATATCGGTGAACTTTGTGTTCCAATTATATATACAAGAACAGTTCACCGGCGGCCAATGGCCAATTAACTTCTGGGAAAACTTTCATGGAATCTGCTCTTTATTTGCGTGTCGTATGGGAGAAAACACGGAAAATTCTCAACAGACAAACTGAGTGCAAATACGAAAAGCTTATAGACGTCTTAGTTAACATAAATTTTTCTTATTGTACCATAAAGATCTGTTGTTTGATATGTTTCAGACGTAGCCTAAGTTCTACTTTAGATGTTGCTTCTACAGGATTATTGTTCAAAAACAAGTAGTATTCAAACGATTAACCCTCAATACCCTTGTTCAGAAAAAATATTGTCACCCTTTCTCCTTGACAAGTCGCTACACACTTCCTTAAGTCACATTTTCCTCCTACTCTCTTACCATTTTCTGTACTAACTAGTTATATAATGTTAAGTTTAAATAATAATTTTATATAATGTTGAGTTTTGCCTGACTCATGGCTCAGAGGCAACGTGCCCCGCTGGTGAACGTTAGGGCTGCTGTATAGTCCGCTGGCGGCTTTGTTGTAGACATTGTTTCAAAAGACAAGAAGGCTCGATGGCGTTCGTGATGTTCAGCATCTTGCCTCGTGAGTCGGACTACCTGATGGGAGTTTCCCGTGTTTTCTGTTGTTGTTTCTTATCCCACTTGGCTGGCCAAGCCCACGAACCCATACGTACTCATGATTGAAGGGGAAGGAAGCAGCTTCTGTTGTGATGGAGCACCCATAGGTAGAAGTCTGACTTTGGCTCCGTGACGCTCTTTACAGTCATAGGAGACCGGGACCTACGGCTTAAAGTGGATTCCGAACCACTACAAACATCCATGGCACCGCCGGGATTCGAACCCGAAACCTGTGGCACCGAGCGCCAGGGCGCTAGACACTCGGCCATTCAGATCCCAAATTTGTGAATGCAACGGCACGCGGTGTTCCCAGGTGGTCACCCACCCAAGTACTGACCGCGCCCAATGATGCTTGACTTCGGTGATCTAACGAGAACCGGTATATTCAGCATGGTATGGCCGTTGGCCCGTTTTCTTCCATACGATACGCGTATTTGGAGTAGTTCCCCTTAAAAGTCCTCACGGAAGGCACAACTCTCTCACACGGAGCCAAGTCAGACTTCTACCTACGTGTGCTCCATCACAACAGGAGCTCCCTCTTTTCTTCCGTCAATGAGTAGACTAGTCATGGGGTGTCCCTCCTGTACAGCAGAACACTGAGGATTAGACACAACGCAGTTTAAACAAATTTACAAATTCAGATATAAATTTTTAGAGCAATTGTATATAGCGAGTTATTTGTATTATTGAAATTCCATGTTTGATTGAAATGGAATAATTCTTTTCAATAAAAAAAAATCATTTACATATAAAATTTCGAAGATGGTCCGGAGTTTCAATGAAAATATATAAGAAGAAAACATAATTAAATATTGAGACCTTAATGATAATTTGACTTCAAAGCTGCTAGTGCATTAAAAAAAAAATAAAGATCTTCAGTGATGTTTAAAATGTAAATTGCCAACGTGTGTCAAAAATTACAAGACACAACTTCAAAAATATTTATATTTTTGTTTTATTTATATTGATATTTTTGATAACTCATTAAAATAAATTTTTACAACTTTGTTATAAATAAACATAAAATAGAAAGATCGGCTTATTAAGGCTTTTGTTAATTCATTAAAATACGGCAGAATTAACAATCCTAGAAAAAACGCAATTTTTCCTAGAGCTTTTATTTCTTTACAAATGGTTTATTTACATAATTACAGAAGATATTTGTTCATATTCTCTAGAGGAAATTGTCAAAGGATATTTAATCTCTCAAATACATCTGTATTATTGAAAATATTTTAATGTTTCTATTTTTTTTATTATTTTATTTAAATCAAATTAAGGCTTGTTTCAATAAATGGACATTTCAATAAATTTGCTGGGGCCGTAATGTTTGCGGAATATCAAGTTGTAAATTATATTAATTCTGAACTTTTATCATGTGATCAGTATAACGGATCAGTTTTTCTGAAATTATGTTGAAACGAATAGAGTTTGAAATTATGACAACTTTTAAATGGCATCATAAAATAATTATTCTAATAAAAAAATATTTTAAAACTATTATACTGTGCTTAGGAATTGCAATGCCGGTATTTTGAGCCATTTGTACAATTTTGTAATACCGGTATTCACATGTTTAAATACCGTCATGTTAATACACATGTTAAATTTTTATTCTTATCTGAAATCTAGAAATTCTTGTCTGTGAAAATAAGGTTGTAGTTGTGAAGAAAGTGTGTAATATTTCAATATTTTTAAAATTGGTGAGTTTGTTATTCACATTGTATTTACATATCATACTTTACAATTCAAAATATTTTTCAGATTTATATATATATATATATATATATAGATATACATATACACACAATCATAAATGATAGCCCATAATAATAAATAAGAATAACTTTAAAGAACATAAAAAAATCAGTTGATACTAGTTCGGTTTTGTTTCATTATTTATATGATGAAAAGAATGTGGTGGCATGATGTAAAAAATGTTCCAGAGTTATTCAAGTGAATGGAGGAAGTACAAGTGGACACATTTAAAAACAAAACATGATACAGATTAATTAAAGAGGAAAGAATCTAATTGCGATGAAGATGCAAACTTAAACACTTTTTGTGATTCTTTATATACTGTTATAATTTATAAGTTAACACATTTTTTTGTGATATTTACATTCTCTAATAAAACTGGCAAATATAACAAAAAAAAACTGTGTTTTCTTTCTTTTTCTAAAATTTATATTACCGGTATCCCGGTATTAAGATCTAAAAAATACCGGTATTGAACATTTGGTCCGATATTACAATCCCTAACTGTGCTTGAAAATAATTATATTTGAAACGAAATTGTTCAAATAGTAAATCAATGATTACTATTGAAGTATTTTTAATCAGTTACTCTTTTACTGTAACATTTTAAATCGAATTGAAAAAAGTTTTCAAAACAAACATTTAAACTAATATTTTTCTATAACTAGTATTTCTAACTAGTACTGTATAGTTAAACTAGTATTTTATTTTTATTAGAAAATTAAAGATGCACTTTTTTTTCCTGCATTACTATTTTATTAAAAAAATAAAGATGCTCTTTTTTTATATATTAAAATTTACTCATATCTCTCCAAGTAATTAAAAATACAAATCTTCCTTGCATAAAAATAATTGGAAGAATTTTTTTATGATGTGTATTAAATGAAGTCTATCTACTGATTACGTAATAAACTGCAATGACGATATTCATTGATGATATCCTTTTAGAAAGAATGAATAAAACATAAAACTACTTATTTTTCTGTAGTGTGTAAAAACTCTAAAGAGTAGGATTTAAGTAATTGCTTTCATTTTTCACCATTCATTGTTTTTAAAGCGAAATAATGAGTTACATTTGGAATTGCCATCTGTAAGCTTAAAAGGGGGAAAATATCTAAGGCTATTTTTTCATTTTCAGTAAAATGTAATAATAGTAATGACAGTCTGGTTCTACATTTATTCTTATATAAAAAAAAAATCGTTAATAAAAATAAATTCTCCGCAATTTGTTTCTCCCTTTTTAGTTATATTTTAAGGATATATTTGAGAAGATTTGTTTATACTAAAATTTCATCAACCTAAGTACTTTATAATTTTCTTGGTAACCAACTTTAAGTTTTGAGAAATGCTGTTAATTTTTCTGAAGCTATTTTATGGACAAAAAATGTAATATATGCTAAAATATTTTCAAATGTATAAAGATAGATTCATTTTAATAAATTATTATAGTAAAATCTTGAACTTTTGTACATATCGGTAAACAAAATTAATTTGTTTCCATTATGGTTTAATGTCGGGCTATCCTTAGCCAAACTCGCAGGTCGTATGAAGACCAAACATGAAACCCGCTGAAATTTTTAGGAATTTTTTTTTATTTTTGAATTTATGATTACATAAAATTATATGAGAATGATGCATTTGATTGAGTTTTTATTTTATTTAAATATCAATCTACATTCTCTATTTATATTTTAAGTGATATTTCTTATATCAGTGATAAAACTTCATTACCAGTTAATAATGATTTAAAAAAAAAAACTTCATGAAAAGAAATGGAAGATGACATTTTTAGCTATTTGTCATCGTGTAATACATGATTAAGCGTATAATATACTATTGAGTATGATTCTACTATCATAAGTGAAATTTATTTTTGAAGATGATGCATATGATGTTTTTAATAAGAATATTTACTCTTTCACTTAATTAACTTAAAATTAGCTTATTTTAAGTCTAGCCAGGGCAAACTTTTCCCATCAAATGCTATTGAAGAAAGTACAACACCTTTGGTCGCAAGTATATTTACATTAATTCAAATACGCATATTTTTCTGTCTCTTAATCCGCGGCCTGATGCCAATTGACTAGCGCTCTGGCCTTTGGTACCACAGGCTTTAGGTTCGAATCCAAGCGGTTTGTTAGTGATTCGGAATCCATGTTGAACTGGTCTAATTAGCCTAAAGTGTGTAAAAAAAGGACTGTAGAGCGACAAACCACACCTTAGTCTTAATCCTATAGACAAATGAATATTTTTCAAATTTATTAGTTTTATCTGTTGATTAGGTTTGCTTATTAATGTTGAGGATAGTTAAAAAATGTCACTTTACATGCTTTATCCGGGGAAAAAAATATATTAATATATAGCTATGAGAACTTCGTAAATTTCCAGATATATTTATGATTTGTGTTTAATTTTCGAATTATTACTGCAAGTATTAAGTAAATTCGTGTACATTTCCAGTAATTCTTGTTTTAATAAATTTCCTATCAATGTGTAATATATCACTATCTGTTTCTTTTGGATTCATATATAATGTCTATATGTCAACAAATTTAAAATATATGTTGATTCCTTTCTGAACCAAATCAAATTTAAATATTAACTACAGCAAAATATGAAAAAACAGGCTTTATATTAGGTTTTTTCTTCATTCAAAATTGCCCCACAAATATGATAACGAAAAGATTAAAAAAAAGAAACAAAAAGATAATCTTTTATAATGATTTTTTTAAAGGTAACTACCCTAAATTACTCAGCAAAATACTGAAATAGTTATGTCTAGACTTTTGTCATTCAAAATACTTTTTTCAGCAAAGTAATGTAAAAAAACGTGGTTAAAGAGGGTTCTATTTAGCAAACTTCTATTGAATTGCTCTTCTTTTAACATCCTTTCATATTAATATTTTAGTTTTAATTCTTTCAAGAATATTAAAATAAACGAATACTCTATTAAAATATAAGTGTTTTTTTCCAAATTCTAACAGTTAACTTCGTTTGGGAATTTTTAAAAAATTTTCTAATTTAATTTTAAAACTATGGTTTTAATTTTCAAACTTCGTCTCTGATTTAATGTTAGCTTCATTTTCCTGTTCAAACAAATAAACCTTCGCGGCTTAAATGATCAAAGTTGTCTTAAGTCTCGTACTGCACTTCGTCCTGGAATACTTGCCGCGTTTCATTCATCAATATAAGAGATTCATTTTAAAAATTGCTTTGGCTCTTTAAAATGAACCCCGTCTTCTTTTTTAAATTGTTGGCTGTATGGTGGGTGACCGTTTGCTAAATACGAAAAATAAGTTAATTGAAAATGTAGGAAGTGGAAGTGGAACGGATACGAAAATCTTTGAGTTTCCATTCACTGGTTCGTATTCAATGCAGCAAAGTATCATCTGTTTTTATGTTAACGCAATGTTTGGATGAACTGAAGATCAATATTTGTCGTTGTTTTTTGAGTAGCTTTATTGAAAAAAGGTGAGGTGACGTTTTTTGTAACTTCTACTACTACCCCACCACGCCACATCATTGTGCATAAAGTTGCCCCTTTACAGTTTGGGAATGATGTGGGTGAGAAATCTGATTGGGCTCTGTGACGCTCTACGGTTATATGAGATCGGGACCTACGGTTTTTGTAACTACTGGATTCATG